GGGATCGGGATCGGGATAAGGACACGGGGACACGGGGAGGGGACACGGGGGGGACATGGGGCCACCCTTCTCGATGTCCCCTCATTCCTGGGATCGGGATCAGGATAAGGACATGGGGGACACGGGGGACATGGAGCTATGGGGACATGGGGACACGGAGCCATGGGGACATGGGGACACGGAGCCATGGGGACGTGGGGACACAGGGCCACCCTTCCCGATGTCCCCGATGTCCCCAGGGTTGGGATCGTGACACGGGGGACACGGAACCGGGATCGGGATCGGGATAAGGACACGGCGACACGGGGGACAGGGGGGACAGCGGGACACGGAGGACAGAGCCATGGGGACATGAGGACATGGGGACATGGGGACACGGAGCCACCTTTTCCAATGTCCCCGATGTCCCCGGGATCGGGATAAGGACACGGTGACACGGGGAGGGGACACGGGGGTGACATGGGGCCACATTTCCCGATGTCCCCTCATTCCTGGGATCGGGATAAGGACACGGGGACACGGGGGTGACACGGGGCCACATTTCCCGATGTCCCCTCATTCCTGGAATCGGGATTGGGACACGGGGGACACGGGGACAAAGGAACAGGGAGGACACGGGGACACGGAGCCATGGGGACACGGGGACATGGGGCCACCTTTTCCCATGTCCCCTCGTTCCTGGGATCGGGATAAGGACATGGTGACACGGGGGACACGAAGCCATGGGGACACAGAGCCACCTTTCCCGATGTCCCCGATGTCCCCGGGATCGGGATGGTGACACGGGGGACACGGAACCGATATCGGGATCGGGATCGGGATAAGGACACGGGGACACGGGGGACAGGGGGACATGGGGGACAAAGGAACACGGAGGACACGGAGCCATGGGGACACAGGGGACACGGAACCGGGATCGGGATCGGGATAAGGACATGGGGGACACGGAGCCATGGGGACACGGGGACACGGGGCCACCCTTCCTGATGTCCCCGATGTCCCCGGGATCGGGATAAGGACACGGTGACACGGGGAGGGGACACGGAACCTCGGGCTCACAGAGGGGACACGGGTGACACGGGGTGACATGGGAGTGACACGGGGGGGACACAGGGGGGACACGGAGCCACCACTGTCCCCGTGTCCCCAATGTCCCCATTGTCCCCGATGTCCCCGATGTCCCCATTGTCCCCATTGTCCCC